ACAGCGCGGGGGCGGGCAGGCAGGGACTCACCTCAGCGTGGCGTTGTCCCCTTGACACACGGTGTAGTTGTCAGCCGGCTGGTTGTACTCCAGGCTCCCCACGAGCAGCCCTGAGGGCAGAAAGAGACAAGGGGTGAGAGAAAGCCCAGAGAGGGTTCTCCCCGGGCTGAGATGCAGCCACCTCTGGGGTGGGGCCCAGGGGCTGTTTAATTCACCACAACTCAGTACAGTTTAGGTGGGAAGTGAATGAAAATCTCAGCTCGAGGGAGGATTGTGGGAAGCTGAGTGGAGTCGCCCCAGCTTGGGGGGGACCTGAGGCCAGCCCTGTCTGCCAGGGAGAGCCCCCATTCCTCCCCTTGCCCCACAGCACCCCATAGCGTTCCTGCATCGCTGCCCCTCCACTACCAGCCCCAAGGTGGTGGAAAAGCAGCTGCTACCTGGGGGCACAGGGGGTTATAACTGAAATGTGATCTCAGCCGGGCCCAGCAGGGGGCGCTCGCCCTACACACAGGCCTCGGGGCCTTAGGGCTGTTTTAGGAGGGCAGAGCTGGAGCTGGGGGTGGAAAATCCAAAGGTTCTTCCCCCACACGGAGAACAAAAGAGATCGGAACATAAAGAACCCAGGAGTCCTGGCTCCCAGCCCCCCTGCTCTAACCACTAGCCCCCACACCCCTCACCATGCCAGAAGAGAACCCAGGCGTCCGGGCTCCCAGCCAACGCAGGGCACCTGTCAGGACGCATTGGGAGGATTTCAGTGACGGAGCCTCCCATTCCCCCTCCCCCTGCCAGGGACAGGCCGACCCCCCCAGGCCTCATCAGCTGGTCTCATCCTATCACCCTCACCTCAGTCCCCGCTGGGCCTCCCCCATGGAGCAACAACCTCACTGAGGTGTGGGGCCAGGAGAGCTCAGGGCTGGGGGTCAGGAGTGAGAGGCACTGGCAGGGCTTGGGGGGGCAGGGGCTGTGGGTCAGGGTGAGGGGCCTGGCAAGACTGGGGTGTCAGGGCTGGTTCTCATGGAGGCTGTGGGTCTGGGGGTGAGGGGCCCGCAGGGTGGGGGGCAGGGCT